AATGTAATCTACATATGAGGTGTATTTGTAACTGGCTCTCTAGGGTACCAACAAGTGCAAGATCATACCTACTTGCCACCTGAAAGATACAGGTTACAGTCTTTTTTTTTTAATTACATTTAAGTACAGTTCTCTCACCTCCTCACCTTGCAATCAAAAGGTACTAAAAGTGCAATCTGAAAATGGACTCAGTATTGCAAGGGCTTTTTTTTTTTTTTGGTTTGTCAAAGTGATGGAAAAATATTGTGAAACTTGAGTAATCTCTTAATTCATTTTATAACAGCTTTTCTGTAGCATCCACAACCACAAATAATACATAATAAAAATGTATTAATACAGTAATGTTTAAATCTAATAATTTACATACAAGGAAATAAAATGCATAAAAAAGACTTACACTGGCTTCTCCTGGTTTGCAGTCAAGAACACTCTTAAGTGACTGCAAGGAATGCATAATGCACTGCTCAAAGTGGGATGGCTAAAAGTAAAAAGATTGAGTTCCTAAATGAATATGTAATGTATATGATACAAACTACTATTATATACTTTTTTACAGTAAACAAAGGCATTCATTTCTTACTGATCCAAAATGGAAAAACACACAAATTACCTGATACTTGTAATAAAGAAAGCCCTTGTTTTAATGAGATACTTTGATATGGAAGCAAAAAAAAAAAAAAAAAAAAACTCCATAAATAAATTTTCTTTCTAAGTGCCTGAATAAGGAATTCCTCCACTGAACAGTTTCTTTGCACTAAGTCTGTAGTGATATTCTTACACCTTGTTTGTGATTGCATGCATAGCTACACAGGAAAAGTCTGGGGGTAAAACCCTGACCTCAAAGTCTATGGCAGAAGTCATATTAACTAACAGGCCTAGGACCTAAAGTATATAAATCTAGAATTTGTAGAATTATCTCTAGCAGCTAATCTTCCCTTAGCCTCCTCTCTTGTTCAGAATAGTATCATTCCTATTTGAAAATACCTGATGGTCCTAAGGGATAAATTGTGTTTCCAGAGGGGAACATGAAAGTGAGAAAGCTATCTCCATGCTAGAAGAAGGAAGATGGGGCAAGCTGATTTGGCTCAAAAATGGGAGCCAAAAACTTCTAAGTTCATTCTGCCCTTTACCCTCTGTGTAGCTTAGAGTAAGTCATTTCACTTTGGTTTCCCCAACCTATCACACTGATATAATCCTTATCCTCCTCACATAGGTGCCATGAGGACTGATTAATGTCTGAGGATAAATTTGAAAATATAAAGCAGTATACTAAAATACAACCTAATTATTAATATTTAGAACAAGATCTTGAAGGCATACATCAGAGAAAGAGAGCTAAAGGGGCATGAAGGAGGTACATTTTCAGTAGAGAAGTAAAATGCTGCTCTTTTCATTTTTGTTCTCATGTAGATATTTACTGCCTGAGAAGAAAACAATAAAGTTTCTCTGTACGTTAAACTCTGGGCATTACTGGTCCCATGGCTGTAGGTTTCTGACAACAGTATTCCAAAATATGTGTTAACAGTTGTGTAAATATTGAAGATGTTAATAACTAATTGTCTTACATGAAGTTTACACATATAGTTTAAGTTTAGGCTGTCTCCAAAGGGCCTCTCTGATCTTGGTTTACCTTTGGAAATTTTGCTGAAGATTCCCATCATTATGACAATTGATTCAAATCCACTGGTGGTATTAACAGTGGGATTATTCATATAGATGAGGCATCAGCAGCTGCCAATATTCTAAGCACTGGGCCAGATTCTGAGCAGTATTAGATGACACCATACTTAAAATGATGGCAAATCCCTAAAGACCTATATATGTACTAGCAATCCTCCCAATATTTCAGCCCTTGGAAGAGCTAAACTGATGGGAAATGTTTTCAAAAAATCCTAGGATAGATATAGCACAGTCGCATGATAATGAAGCACTAATAAGATTTTGTTTATAATTATTTGTTCTACAAAAGAATGATCACATATGCAATCCTAAATGAAAGAAGGAAGTGGGGCATTGTTTTGGACTGAAATGATGTGTTGCTAATAGTCTAGCATATTTTTTCTAAAAAGTTAAAACTGATACTCAAATAGGAGGGAGTGTGTATTGTCTTACTGTTAGGAAGTGGATTTTCCAGCAAAGAAAAAAAGCCATCTTGGTCTTGACTAAACAATGAGGTGATTCCAAAGTGTCAGTTGAAACTATACCTGAATTGTTAAATCATGCAATCCATGTCTATTGAGTCCCAGCTATATTGGCAGAGAATATATCTAGACTTGATAGAAACAGAAAGTTTCAGTCTTGAGAAAAATAAACGCCTTTAAAAAAAAAGCCATGGTGAAATTAATAAGAATGATTTGGATAATGGCATCATGGCATCTATTGATGCCACTCTACAAGAATAATCCCATTGTTGCTATCAGTGGTGGATCTAAATCAGTTGTAATAATGATGGAAAATTTTCACAAAATTTTTGAGGGTAAACAAGGCTAGAGAAGCCTGTGGAGATGGCTTAAGCTTAAATTATATGTGTAGAATGCAATTTATTACATTTGCTGATGATACTCAGCTGTGAGGGGTTGCATGCACTTTGGAGGACAGGATTAGGTATCAAAACAATCTTGACAAACTATAGAAATGTTCTGAAGTAAACAAGATGAAATTCAATATAAAAAATGCAAAATACTATACTTAGAAAGGAATAATCAATTATACAAATACAAAACCAGAAAAACTACCTAGGAAGGAGTATTACAGAAAAGGATCTGGGGGCTATAGTATATCAAAAAATAAATATGAGTCAACAATGCAAAACTTTTGTAAAAAGCCTGAACATAATTCTGGGACATATTAGCAGGGATATTGTAAGCAAGACACAAGAAGTAGTTCTTCCTCTTTAGTTAGCACTGATACGGACTCAACTGGAATACTGTGTCCAGTTCTGGGCACCACATTTCAGAAAAAGATGTACACAAATTAGAGAAAGTCCAGAGGAAAGCAATAAAATGATTAAAATTCTATAAAACATGAATTGTGAGGAAGGATTGAAAAACCTGAGTTTGTTTAGTCTGGAAAAAAAAGAGGAGTGAGGAGGGATATGAAAATGGTCTTCAAGTACAGGCAGTCCCCGAGTTACGCGGATCCGACTTATGTCGGATCCGCAGTTACGAACGGGGTTTGCTGCCCATCTCCCTGGTCTGCTGGAGACCAGCAGACCAGGGAGACGAGGAGCAAAGCCGTGGAGCACGCGGGCAGCGGACAGCCCAGACGCGCCGCGGCTGTCCCGCTGCCGGTGTCCTCAGAGGCTTAATTACTAGGACTCCACATATGTTATCTGGGCCTAGAGAAGCCAAATGGGACTGAAACCAAAGTGCAGTAAACTTCTGATAATCCGGCACCTTTAGGACCCAGGGGGTGCCGCATTATCAGATATGACGGACTATCGGGGGGGGGCTATGAGGGGTCTCGAGTGGGACCAACCCCACAGCACCCCAGCTGCTCTGCCCCAGGCATCCAGATTCAGGGCGCTGCCAGCTGGGGCACTGCTGGTCAGTTTCAGCTGTGGCTGAATCAGGACACCTGGGGCAGAGCAGCTGGGGTGCTGGTGGGTTGGTCCAGTAGCGCCGAGAGTGGCGCTACTGAAGCAACCCAGCAGCACCCCAGCTGCTCTGCCCCAGGCGTCCCCAAGTCAGCCGCTAAACTGACCAGCGCTGACTACAGGAAGCCCGAGGCAGAGTTGCTGTGCCCCGGGGTTCCTGGAATCAGCCGCTGATCAGTTTCAGCAGCAGCTGACTTGGGGATGCCTGGGGTTCTTAAGTTGAATCTGTATGTAAGACCAACTCTGCCTCGGGCTTCCTGTAGTCAGCCGCTGGTCAGTTTCGGCAGTGGCTGAATCTGGACGCCAGTTCCGACTTACAGACAGATTCAACTTAAGAACAAACCTACAGTCCCTATCTTGTACGTAACCCGGGGACTGCCTGTATGTAATAGTTGTTACAAAGAGGAGGTTGAGAAAGTGTTCTCCTTAACCATTGTGGACAGGACAAGAAGCACTGACCTTAAATTGCAGCAAGGGATATTTAGGTGAACATTTGGAGAAACGTCCTAACTACCTGAGTATTGAGTACTGGAAATTGTCTATGGGGGCTGTGGAATATGCATCACTGGAGGTTTTAAAAATCAAGTTAGACAAACACCTCTCTCTCTAGCAACTGTCTATCTAGATCATTGATATCTTAGATTTCAGTGGTTCAAGAGCCAAATTAGCAATGAACGTTACCCAGAAGAGCTACAGTAGTATGAATTGATGGTTTCACTTATTATTTAAATATGTATGCATCATTCTCACAGCAAAATGACTGACCAAGTATTATTTTATCAACTATCGTTGATACTACTAACAAAGGAGGCATACTAATTGGTTAATAATTAAATACAATGTTATAATATCATATGCAGAAGACATATTAAATAGCCACTTGTGGCTCGTGAGCCTGAGTATCACTTGTCTAAACTATACTTTGGCCTACTTCAGTCTTAACTCTCACTTGTACTTTAAAAGGATACCCATTGAAGACAAACTATTCCTGCCCCCACTTTTCCATAAAATGAGACTTAAGACACAACAAAGCTTTTACCATGAAAAGCTTTGTGTGAGGTAGATAAGTTCTTCCAACTTTACGGATGAATAAAAAGAAAACCAGAATAATTAAGGGACTTGCCCAAGGTCACAGAACACTCAGTGGTAATTGAGAATAAACGCAAGAAGTCATGACTCCCAGTACTCAATTTTAATAACCAGAAAACACTCCTTCCCACATTATGTGTATCTGAAATGCTTCATGCCCTCCTACTCAACTTCATTCAAACATATTTATAGTAACAAATAATCAAAACTCCAGACAGAAGGCCTACCCAATATGGTCTTATATAATATACACAAGGCACAATCCTCCCACAGCCACTTCTGCTTTCTCAGACTGTTTTCGAGTCATGCCTACAATGTGCTTGTCATGTTTTAGCCATTAGTCATTACTATTTCTTTCCCGAAAGCACCATGCTAATTTATTTGAATATGGTTTCAAATCATTTATTGTTTGTCTGTGAGCAACCTCCTAAATTAGTTGGCTCATTATACCAGAAAAGCAACTTCTTATATCTGCAACAGTCCAGCTTCCATTAAGTTATGAAACACTAGGGCATGGACTGAATTTGTCAAAAGCTGAGAAAACAAACTCTGTATTTTAGAAATACATCCATAGCTACAAAGAAAACTTTTTCTAAAAAATCTCAACATAATCTTACTAAGGAAGCTCAGTAAAAACTATATGGGGACTCATAAAAAAAATCGCAACTTTCTCTACTTAAATACACTCTTCCCCTATGTCCTTCTTTTCATTCTACTCATATTAAAGGACCAAACCCGGGAAAGCTATACTCATCTAAGTACTCATGTGAGTAGGTTCAATAACATGAACTGTTACTCACATAACTAAAGATTATTCACGTACTGTTCAGCAGCACTGAATTTGAAGACACTGCTTTTGAAAACCTTATCCATCAATTGAAATTTATTAGTTTTTAAAACTACTTTGGACTATGCTTATGCTCACTGACATGTGTAAAAAAATCCACCAGGAGAAAAATAACTCCTGAAAAAGTGAAACAAGAAAAAGAGAGAAAACTTTTGATTTTCTTGGTTAGATTTATATACCTATGAATATTTGAGAAAGCAAGTAGAGAGGGGAAAAAGAATTCACTTAGGGATATAATCTCACCTCTACCTAAACTGTAACTCATTGTAGATGAGAACTGATTTGTTTTATTTTGTACCATATTTTAACTCTCTTATAAATACCTATGCATATACATGTGTAAATGTAAGTACAAGTATAATATGTTGCAAAACTTTTAATACTCGTGAAAAGAAAAAAAATGAAATTTTCACAAGTTATATGTTTATAATTACTAAAACACACAAAAGTGCACCTACCAGAGATGTTAAACCTTCATTATCAACCACCCAATCTTCCTTTTCAGCTAACCTCTTCACATCTATAAAAAGAAAAGGTGCTCTTTATATATATATATATATATATA